CCGTAAGAAACTTGTTGTGAACACAGCCCAGTCCATCATGCAAGCCAGCCTTCCATCCATTGACTCCATCTACATCTCTGGCTACCTTGGAAAGGCAGCTAACATTATCAAAGACCCCTCCCACCCAGTTATAATCTCTTCCAACCTTTTCCATCAGCCAGAAAATATAAAAGCTTACACACACGTACCAACATGTTCAAGAGCAGCTTCTTCCCCACAGTTATTAGACTTCTGAATGGACCTCTCTAATCTCAAATCTAATGTTGCTCTTGCCTCTTCTACACCTGCTTTACAGCCGTACCTTTTTATTCCTTGCTCTGTTCTATCACCCTATGGTCTGTCTGCACTGCATTCAAAACAAAACTTTTCAATGTACGTAGGTACATATGACAATAATAAATCAAATCAAATCAAATCAAATTGTGTGACTGAGCACAAAATGTCCATGCAGAAGCATCCTGTGATTGGATTGGAGATGTGCAATGAGGGTTCTAGAAGTTGGCACATATCGGATGTCGTGTACATAGTTGTAGGGTGTGCGTGGAGCATGCCCTGAGATTTTGTTACCTGGTGTCCAACGCAGAGATCCTTTAGAGCAAGCAGCAAGCTGAAGTTGCCAGATAGCCGCTCTGACTTCCATTTTGAGTATCCCTGGTGTCCATTTTACTTGCAGCAGATGGTACAATAGAAATCTGCATATTAATGAGGTGAGATGTTCAGTTTGTAAAGTCATTAATAAGCGGTAAACCCTCTTAATAGGCAATGTGCTTCTGCCTAGTGAGAATGTGGTCCTGATGCCCAGAATTTAGTTAAAAGATGCGCTAGTTATTCTTGCCATTGAAGTAGGCCTCAGTGGACTTCTCATATTGATTCTGACACATTTCTCACCACAGACCATGTTTTTCAGGTCCCTATAGGGTTCTGCCATACAAAACAATCAAGACGTGTGAACGTAGTCTTGGGGCAGAATGATTAAATGAATCACTCGACACCCTGCTCCACTTCCAGCATCAAAGAGTTTACAGCCGGTTCTGTTATAACGTGTATTCCGTCAACACGAATTGGCTGTAATGCAATTGATGAATCGAGGAACACTATTTCTAAAATGCAAACATGTGTTGGCTAATACACGGCTCCATCGGTGCGCAGAGGAGTACGCATTTCATCATGAATACATACAATGTTAGCACCGAAAGAGTCTCTGCGCCAGCATGACGTGATCATTTTGCGGTCTTTGTCGTGAAGTGCGTTCTGTGAGAGGTACAGTGCAACCTCCTCCCCCATCAAGTCATCTTGACATTTTTCAAGGTAAAGTGTTAAATTTACTTTTATTTCATTATCAGATATGAATAAGACATTTATTCAAATTGTGCTATCATTTGTGTTAGACTTTTGAGTGGTGGTCTGCCCCTAACCCCACTTTTCCCATAGGCCCCGTTATTTCTGTAGCATGATTTTCTATAATGCGACATTGCACGGGAATGCAACTATCACTTTGTAGCAGAACTGACTGTATTGTTGTACATTGATGAGGAGAAAAGCCCTGTGCAAGCCAGAGGCTTCTCCACTCAACAAAGGAAAATATATACTTGTTATATATTTACTTTTAGCCTGCTTTTGGCTGATACAAACCAATTGTATTATTAATTGATTACAAACACATCCAATCAGGGTTAATCATTTGACTGTGGTCAGCTTTAAGTCATCCCATGATCTCATGATGTTTACCAAACCTCCTTATCACTTATCACTTCACAATACATCATGTTCATTACTTTCCAGAGTTTAGACTCCAGCAATAATCTCTGCTAATCAGAAGGGTCATTTTCCAGATGTCTTTGACTGAATATCCTCAGGAATGCGGTTAAATCACTTAATGACTGTATACTTAAAACTCATGCAACTATAATTACCTGGCCTGCTTAACTAATTAGGTCAGTCTCCTTCTTTCTATCCCATGCTAAATATCAAACGTTGGTCTGGCTTGAAAAGGAGTTTTTATCAATATTTCTCAAAGATGTACCATATCAAGCTGTCTCCATACAAACAGCTATATCTGCTTCAGTTTCAACAGAGTCCAATTTATGCATTTCACAAGACCCTTGTGTGTTATCTTCATTTTGTAACCATGGATATGCTCCTTCTATGAATGCTACGATTGCTCTTGTTTATATTTTAGCTTCAAACAGTAGACTATGGAAGCTGCTGTTTCAGCTAAAAATCTTCTCAGCCATTTTATGTCAACTGAGAGCCACTTTCAGCCATTTTAAGCTGTTTTCGCCATGAGCAGCCCTAACAGCAGTTTTACAAAATAAAATTTGTATTTGATGTGTTTGTGTGTATTCATTGAAGGTTTAACAATCTGTAACAAGATGTAAAGAAAAACCAATCAATGATGCTGAATGCAGCAGTACAGAACAATTGGAGTGTCCTCATACATGAAATACAAAATGTTAGCATGAGAGTAGAGCAAACAATTAAGAAGATATGGAAAGTTGGCCTTTATTGTAAGAGTGATGGAATATAAATATTGGGAAGTCTCAGTACAACTGGACAGGGTTTTGATGGGACTGAAGCACTAGAAAAGTGTGTAGCTTTAGCAGGATATTGTTATGATCCCAGTTGTTGTTATTACTGAGCAAGTCTGATCCCAGACTGAAATCTGGCTTGCCAGATCATGTTTTGTTTTGGTTTGGGGGTTTTTATAAGGTGGCTTCTCACTGAGACAGGAGCACACAATATTGCAGATTTTGTTTTAACAATATAACAATTTTATTAAGCAAAAGAAATGAAAATAAAATAGAATGAACTAATCTATTCACTTATAGTACAAATTCAAAGACTTTTAAACACACAAAATATAATCCCATAAATCCCAAAATATTCTTTTATAAGATTAAAAAAATCAACATCCCTTGTACAGTACCTAACAGCAATCCTTGTACAGTACTCCCACCAGAATTCCTTTCTCTACTACCCCCATAAATTTAAGAAAACTCTGACTTTAACTCATGGACTAGAACCTTCGATGTCTTATTCCCGAGGCTGTCATACAAACTGAGTTTAAACAAACTCAATCAAGTCCTCTTCAGGGTTTTATCCCAACACTCCTGGGCTGGGACTATTGCAAACTCCTTACTCTAAGGTAATTTAGTTTTATATTCTCTCCCATTCTCATGAGCATAATACTGTCCAAAACAATGTAAAACTAAAACATATAAACCTCTTCCTCTAAGCTTTAAAGAATCTCCCAGTCCAGGAAGTTCCAACTGAAACCTTTAGGTACAATTCCATACCTTGTTAGGTCATAAAATTTGAAAGTAATCAAAAACTCATTATGCTGTCAAAGCAGCTCTTACAAACTGTTTCTAAATAAATCACTACAGAAATACTTTACAAGTTAATTAATAACTTCCCAAACAGAAACCTACAGCTTGCTAAGTCAAAATTCAAAACCGAATCTTAGAATAAATGATATTAAATACATATATTATTAATCAAATAGTTTATATTATAATATGAGTACATTACAGGCAGTTCAGAGAAGGTTCAGTAGGTTATTCCTGAGATGAGGGGATTGATTTATTAGGCAATCTTGAGAGGGTTGAGCCTATACTCATTGAAGTTTAGAAGATTGAGAGGTGAAAAATGTAAGAGTCTGAGGGACTTCTACAGGGTGCGTGCTGAGAGGATATTTCCCCTAGTGGAGCAATCTAGAACTAGACCACATAATTTCACAATAAGGATTCACCCATTTAAGACTGAGATGAGGAAGAATTTCTTCATCCAGAGGGTTGTCAATCTTTGGAATTCTCTACCTTAGTATAACCTCCTATGTGCAGCCTATCCTTACCTATTGTCTTCTGATAGGCATAGCTAGTGATGCTGTCTGTTGACGCTCTTGCTGTTTATTTTGCCCAAGACTGCGGGTTTGAGTTCCACCTGCTTCAGTTGTGTGTAATAACATTGGGATCAGCCATGATTCTATTCAATGGTGGAGCAGTCTTGAGGGGCCAAATGGCCTAGTTCTGTTCGCATTTCTTGTGCTCTTATTTCTGAACAGGTTGATTTGAAAATATCTACCCTCCATCATCCAAATGGAGCGGCACGGTGGCTCAGTGGTTAGCACTGCTGCATTACAGTGCCAGGGACCCGGGTTTGATTTCAGCCTTGGGTGATGTCTGTGTAGAGTTTGCGCATTCTCCCTGTGTCTGCGTGGGTTTCCTCCAGGTGCTCCGGTTTCCTCCCAAAGTCCAAAGATGTGCAGGGTAGGTGGATTGGCCGTGCTAAATTGCCCGTAGTGCCCAGGGATGTTTAGGTTAGCTGGGTTAGACATGGGAAATGCAGGGGTAGGGAATTGGGTCTGGGTGGGATGCTCTTTGGAGGGGCGGTGTGGCCTTGTGGGGCCAAATGGCCTGTTTCCACCCTGTAGGGATTCTATGAGATAATTCCATGAGATATTCAAATCGAACTAGGAATAACAGCATCAATGGTGGATGTTAATGAGGTTAAATAAGGCAAAGCAAAAATCAGGAAGCTAATATTCTGGAAGCTGTTATATTTCTAGTTATCCAAAGAGCACAGGGCGCACGAATCCTCACATCAATAAGTACCTCTCTGAGTGCTGCTTCAGTTGCTTAAAAAGACCAATTCCATCAGGTTTTACTGGTGCATTTGGCAGTATTTCTGTAATTTTGTGTGAGAATTGCATTGAAGTGTCCCATTTTACACATCTTCATGGGGGTCCCAATTTCTTTTCCTGGAATGACAGAACAAATGATTTTTGAATCCTGCAATAACTTTCAATGGCTTTGTAAAATGTTGCTGCTTTTATAAAGTTACACAACATTCACAAAATTTCACTTCACCCCCTTGGTCAGAATAATCACTATTCTTTTTGAAACGATTCTTTTAATTTGAGAAATCAGACATTATTTATTTGCACATTTTGTGCAGTTTATGTTTGTACTTTTAAGACATTTACATTTAATCTTTTACAGTACTGTCATCTCTTGGGGAAGGAGTCGAGGAAAGGACGCATTTGAATATTTGCTCAAGCAATTTCCATCCACTCCTTATTCAATAGTCAGTGACAGTTTTGACATTTTTGATGCCTGTAAGCAAATCTGGGGAGACGATCTTAAAGATTGAGTTGAGCAAACGAATAAGGATTTAATGGTGGTTATTCAACCTGATTCAGGGAATCCTGTCGATATGATTATGGATATACTTAGAACTAATATTAGGGAGTTTGTACCAATACTACTGCAGTACACTGCAACTGTGATTACAGACCAGATTTATACTTCTATATGTGGAATATTCTTCCCATACAAATGTTGTAAGGTATAGCTCAGATTCCAGTGCAGGTAAATGCGTGTATTGAATGTCCTATTTACCTCCCTAATAGTACAATGTCATGTTATCAAGTCAGTGAACTCTTGTTATAGACAGAAATAAACTTTCTACAATTACAGATATAGCAGGAACTGCAGATGCTGGAGAATCCAAGACAGTGGTCAAGAACGCCCTCAACCTTGTCTCCCACATCTCCCGCAACTCATCCCTCACACACCGTCCCTGCAATAACAACCAAAAAAGAATCCCCCTCCACCTCACGTACCACCCCACCAACCTCTGGATCCAACGCATCATCCTCCGACACTTCCGCCATCTGCAATCCGACCCCACCACCAAAGACATCTTTCCCTCCCCACCCTTATCTGCTTTCCGGAGGGACCACTCTCTCCGT